ACCAAAATTATGATCGCAGTTTCCACTATTTTCCTCTAAGGGTGCGTTTGATTGCCAATATTTTCTATGAAAAATGTGTTTTTTTCACCTAATTTCCTACTTTGGTATTATTTGATTGACAATTTTTTTCACGAAAAATAATTTCCTACTTTGGGTCACGTGATCATATTTTTCTTAAAAACAAGAAAAATATCTTCCTTAGAGAGATGTGATTTTTACTTTACAGATAATTCACTCTCTCATCTACCCATCAATAAAAAATGTATAAATATAATATTTTTTAGGTTGAAAACTAAATCAATCGAATACATTTAATTAATAATTTCTAGGCAATTTATTTTCTTTCTATGCAAGTTCCATATTCGCAATCAAATGCACCCTAAGTGGGTTTGATTGACTTTATTTTCCATCAAAAATGTCATTTTTCCACACAAATTCCTACTTTTTGGGTATTTGACTTACAATTTTTCTATAAAAAATATTTTCCAACTTTTGATCATGTGACCATATTTTTCTCAAAAAACAAGGAAAACATTTTCTTTAGGAAGTGATGCTTTTTATTTTCCATAATTCACTCTCTTTCTTTGTCTCGTCTATTCCTTCTCTATCATCTACCCACTAATAAAAAATAGATAAGTATAATATTTTCCAAATTGAAAACTAAATCAATCAAACACATTTAATTAATAATTTCCATATAAATAAGTTCGTGGCAATGGGATTGTCTAGAATTTATTTTATTTCCACGCAAATTTCATACTCGCAATCAAACGCGAAAACGAACCCTAATGGAAATGTATGCATCAAACTTTTGTGTTTGCTAATCACATCAAATGAAGAATAGTGAGCCAGACAAGTCCATACAGAAAGGGAAACAAATCAAATTTACTGGAATATTTGCTGAAGAGACAATTTGCTCTTCAAGAAGAATAAATGGACATCATATTTTTCTTTTACTACTACAATATGAATTTTGACAGTATATTTACTTTTATCTATCAATATAATAAATCAAATTCCTTAATCATCAAGAAATCTATCAATATAATAAATTAAATTCCTTAATTAAATTAAACAGCTTTGGGGTTTTCTTTCTCAACCATGCTACAAGTACATAATGTGTTATCGAATTGACAAGTGGTGGCCACCTATTTGGGGGGCGCTTGTGGGCCCAGGTGCCCCCAACAGAGGGCCCCCACTTGTCAATTAGATAACCAAATAGGTAAAAAATTATGTACAATAAGAATAATTCGTTCTTCTTAAGGCAGTCTACACGTGCTGACGGACGTGTGCGTGCTTTTCATCTACCATTAAATTAGAAATAAGCTTAGTTCAAATGTTAGAGTCAAGGAAATGAATAAAACTCGAACAAAATGTTGAATTGACGTGACGAGAAGGTCGATTTTTATCTAAGCAGACTTGGGACTAAAATTTTTGATTCCTAGTATA